AACAATAACATGCAAGAATAAACAGTAACACATAAAACTGCAATAAATAAAACTAATTCATTTGTAGATTAGGAACAGAGATTGAATTTTATAGATCAATATTAATGTTTGATACTATATCTTTAAGAGCGATTTCCCCCCTACACTGGTGTTTATAGAAATCTAAGAGTTTGCCTCACAAGATACAATGATTTTTACGCAAATAAAAATAATAATCCAATTCAATTGCCCAAGGAACCAGAATAATGTTGTGTACACTCAGAAAATACTATCTCTTAATCACGAAAGGATAGACGATCGACAAAAAAGAGGCAACTGGAGAAAGAAATTGAAACCCTATTCTAATATAATATGTATGTATATATATATATATATATATATATTTTATTTTTTTATATTTTTTGGCTGAGCCTGAGTTCTATAATCGGGTTGAGCCCGATTTAATAATTTCGAGTTGGGCTTGGGTTCAACCTGTAAATCCTAGCACTGCCCGAGGGTTGGGGTTTTCTGGCCCAAGCCCAACCCAAAAAGTGAAAATTGGGGCTGAGTCCTCTTTAAGGAACTTATAATCAGTTTAATCCATNTTTTTGGCTGAGATTGAGTTCTATAATCGAGTTGAGCCCGATTTAATAATTTCGAGTTGGGCTTGGGTTCAACCTGTAAATCCTAGCACTGCCCGAGGGTTGGGGTTTTCTGGCCCAAGCCCAACCCAAAAATAGAAAATTGGGGCTGAGTCCTCTTTAAGGAACTTATAATCAGTTTAATCCGTCAAGGAAACTTATTTGTGAGTAAGTTCATTTTTAATCTTACTAATAAGTAGTTAAGTCCACTATTTTTTTAAAACTCTAAAATACCTTCTAATGACTTAAAAGCAATCTTCAACATTAAATCAGTTTCCTAAACAATTATCTTGACTCACGCTTAATGGAAGATTTTTTTTCATAAAATTTGTTGTTCAAATTTATATTTGCCATCACTACTCTCTCTCTCTCTCTCTCTCTCTCTTTTCTCTGGAAAACTTCACACCCAGATTACTTTTCAACCAAATACTTCAATGGTCCCAAACATTTTTTAACCTGTCTTTTCATACTCATCTTCCCCCAACAATCTTTCCTACAATAACTTTGTGCAAAGTCTAGTTGTCAATACTACAATCCCCAATACGACAACGATGATGATAAGGTTCGGAAGAAACATGAAAATGAAGAAGGTAATATACATTTTTACATAAGCATGAGTCAACATATTCTAACTAGCTCACAAGTTCTCCACTCCATTATCCAAAAATCTGATGGAAGGTTCACAGAAATTGATTTCATGTTATCTAGAAGTTCTTTATTTTCTGGATTTATCTTATAGGGCTTGTTTCAGATCTCAATTATAAATTATAGATTCATTTTTTTTTTGTGGGAAGACTGTGGTTAATTTAATATTGAATATTACTATGCATGTTNCTTCTAGTCATTTGACAATTCAACTCGTTATCTCAGTCCATTCATGATATAATTCAAATCCAGACGCCTGCTAGTGACTTTATGAACATTAGAGTAGATTGTTTTCAAAAAGACGTTTGAGTGGATATGTGATAGGGAATAGGCAAAAAGAGGTTTGAGTGGATATGTTATAGGGAATAGGTAAAAAGAAATATATGTGAAAGAAAAAAAAAGAAATATATGTGTGGGTTAATTTGTATTCGAACTAAAATATTCAATATTTGGGCAAAAATTAAAAAATCGACAACATTAGGTTAAAGAATGTGAATTTAATTCGAATTAAAAGTTTTATAATATAGATTGAATTTGATTGATTCTTTAATCCGTCCAATCTATTCTAATTAAATACGAAAAGTAAAAAATAATTATTATTTTAAATAATGAGCTGTTCTCTTTTTTGACAAGATGTCTTTTTTATTTTCTTCTGATAAATGATTCTCCTGCTAGGTCAACATCGTATTAATCAGATCAAAGAAAAAAAATGGTCGCTTGACTTGATGATGAGTCAGGATGACTAGTATTTATGATCAGGACAAGTACATTTTTCTTATCAGGCTGCTCATTTTGTGGCTGTCAACAAAGCAAAGAGCTTCCAAAGTCAATACCACTCCCACTCCTATCAAATTTCTGTGGGCTTCTCACAAAGTAGATGGATTTAAAGAAGGGTAAAATTTTGTTAACCAGCTTTGTTTTTTTTTTAAATAGACAACGACATTTTTCACATTATAGGGGGGGAGAAAAGGAGTGAAAAAAGAAGGGAAACTTGATCTATCAATCTGCCACTCTATTATAAAAGGCTCCAATCATTCGCGCCGGGCGCCGCGGGGCGGAGGGGGGGGGGACTTAGGTCCTAATTGTGAAATTTTGTTGAGTTGATATTTTTGGAGGAGATAGTGAGGAGATAGTGAGATTTGTAATTATTTCAATCCACAATGACTTAATATAATTTAGAAAAAAAGAAAAAATTGTATGCGTAGAGTTACTCCACTCTAAATAACTTTGGACAAAATTGATAAACAAGACATGAAATCAAAATTAAAAATAGTGGATTTATATTTCAGTGATGAAATCGAAATTTTAATTCTTCGAGGTGTTTAATGTTTCAAAATGTTTTGTTATATTTTAATGTATTTGCACAATAATTTCAGAATACTTCAAGATATTTCGGTATATTTCGACTAATGTTTTGAAAACATAATACTTAATTTTTTTTTTATTTTGTTTTTGAAACGGGTCAAAACGTTTCCGTTTCCTAAGTGACTAAAACAATGTGCCGAAACAAAATTTTAATCCTTGGTCATTGTTAGGCTTGTTAATCGTGTCGGGTGACGTCAATTTGCATAAAAAAATACGTCAATCATACTTGATTCTTTTATTAATTTGTTTATAATGAATTGTGTCATATTGTGTTTATTTCGTGTATGATTTTTTTGTAACTAATATATAAATGGGTAGTATCGTATATTTGTTTTTATTGTGTTCATTCATACCGATTCATTTATTAGTCGTGTGGGGTCAGATCCACTTATTTATTTAATTAGTGATTTATAGAAAACTCAAATCCTCCGTTAAATACCAATTAAGCATCCAAATGTTTAGCCTAATCTGGTTGTAGAGAAAAAATAGACAAAAAGCTTGGCAAATACAGAAAGAGCCTTTAGGTAATTAGTAGAGCTATTAAATAAGCCAAGCTTAAACATTTTTTAAAGCTCGTTTATGTGTAAATCGTTAAATAAGCCAGCTCGTTTATGCATAAATTCAGCTCGATTTAGGCTCGATTTTAGCTCGATTAACACCCCTAGTACTTAGGAGTATAGTGGCATCTAAAATGAAGCAAATGATGTAGATCCTTTACTACTTGTGACCTTGCTTAATGGCTTGTGAATTCATGTTAAATATTGTCTTTTGTTTCCCTCTTTCCTTCATTTCTTATCGATGTTTTCTCAAGATATGGGTTGTTGGCTGTAATGGTGATGATTGGTTTATAAAAACAGAAATTTTGAGTTTCCACTCTGGTGTCTTAGTCTTA